CTATGCTGAAGAGGAAAAATACTGGGCACAAAAGGCTAGATGCAAATGGCTTCGAGAAGGTGACAGAAATACTAAATATTTTCAAGCCACAGTCAAGCAAAGAAGGCAAACAAACAGCCTAGAAGGCCTTATGAAAAAATCTGGTGGTCTCTGCTCTACTAAAGATGAAATTCTGGAGGAAGTGCACTCCCACTTTGCTGAATTATTCACTTCATCCAACACTGGAAGAGATTGGTACAGTCTAGAGGGGATTCCATGCTCCATTTCTGAAGCCATGAACTCAAATCTTACCAGACCAGTGACTGTGGAAGAGCTCAAACAGGCCCTGTGGGAAATGCACCCTCTCAAAGCTCCAGGTATCGACGGTATGACCCCTTCTTTTTTTCAAGCCTCATGGAACATCATTAATCCCTCTCTTTTTCAAGCTGTAAAAATCTTTTTCTTAAATGGTACAATGCCTAAATACACCAACAGAACTGCTATTACCCTTATACCTAAAAAGCCTAACTCCAAAACCTTAAATGATTTCAGACCCATTAGCCTTTGTTCAGTTACCTACAAGCTTATCTAAAAAATGCTTGCTAATAGGCTTAAGCCTGTTCTCCACTCCTGTATCAGTCCCAATCAAGCAGCTTTTGTCCCCGGTCGTCAGCTTTTAGATAATTTTGTCTTAGCTAATGAGTGTATACACTTTTTGAAAAGCAAAAGAACTGGCAAGAACTCATTCATGGCCATTAAGCTCGACATGATGAAAGCTTTTGACAGTGTTGAATGGCCATTCCTAGAAGCGATTCTCATTAAAATGGGTTTCTGCCAGAAATTCATTTCTTGGATTATGTCCTGCATTACTTCTTCTTCATTTTCCTTTAACATAGATGGTCAGCCTTTGGGTCATCTGAAACCATCAAGAGGTCTTCGGCAGGGTGACCCTCTCTCGCCTTACCTCTTCATCATCATATCTGAAGCCTTTTCAAACCTCATCAAGCAAGCTGCAATTCAACATTCCTTTCAAGGAGTGAAGATTAGTAAAAACTCTCTAGCCATTACCCACTTATTTTTTGCGGATGACTCAATTATATTTTGCAAAGCCAATTCCTCTCATGCCATTATGCTTTCCAATATCCTCAGACTGTATGGTTTGGATTCTGGGCAGAGAGTTAATCTAGCCAAATCTCCAGCTTTCTTTTCTAGGAACACCCAAAGCTCTGTGATTTCTGAGATTAGCTCTATTCTTTGTGGGATTTCTGTGGTTAAGTCTTCTAGGTATTTAGGTTTGCCCCTTGGCATTGGCAGCTCTAAAAAAGAAGCTTTTAGTTTTGTTATTAATAATGTAGTTAGTAGGCTTAATTCTTGGAAGAATATCTTTCTTAGCGACTCGGGGAAGGAAATTTTGCTTAAAACTGTTATCAGTGCTCTTCCCTCTTTTGTTATGTCCTGTTACAAATTGCCTATTTGTGTATGTAAAGAAATTTGCAGGCTATCTGCTGCCTTTTGGTGGGGGTACAATGAGGAAGGAAGCCAAAAAATCCACTGGGCCTCTTGGAGCAAGCTTGCCTTGCCTAAAGAGGAAGGTGGGCTAGGCTTCAGATGCCTCACTTCCTTCAATGAAGCCCTCATTTCAACACAAATCTGGAGAATTTAAGCCAACCGGATCTGTTGCTGAGTAAAGTTCTAAAGGGCAAGTACTTCAACAATTGCTCTTTGTGGGAGGTTCAGCACAAGACTTCTGATTCCTGGATGTGGAGCACTTGGTTAAAATCAAGACCTCACCTCAGAAAAGGAGCTTGGATTGCATTAGGGAATGGTAAGACAACTTCAATCTGGAGTGACCCTTGGCTTGCAGGTTCCACCAAGCTTTCACCCACTGCTTCATTTGCTTCTGACAAAGATAGACTTCACAAAGTCAGTGACCTGCTCTCCTCAGAAGGGGGGTCTTGGGACTCTGACCTGATTGCCCAGACCTTCACACCTGCAGAAGCTCAACTTATAATGGCTACCCCTTTGCCCAGACATGATCAGAGAGACTCTATCAGATGGATCCACCACAAGCAAGGAATTTTCACAGTTAAGTCCGCTTACTCTCTCATCCTTGCGAGCAAACTCTCAAATCACAATCTTCCTGAATCTAGCAGAAGCAGGGTTATGCATTCCAAAATATGGAAAACAACTTGGGGCCTGAAAATCAAAAATAAGATAAAGATGTTTCTATGGAAGTGCTGGTTTCAATACTTAGGTACTAAAGACCAACTCCTCAAGAAAGGAATGCTTGTTGATCCTATTTGTGGTGTCTGTGGGAGCTCTGAGGAAAACTTGGAGCACATTCTATTCACTTGTCAAAGGGCGATTACAGTGTGGAAGCTTGCAGGTATTGAATGGGAAGGGGCTCATTGCTCCTCCATGTCTTTCAAATCCTGGTGGAGCAACATTTGTACAATGAAGAGGGTACTAAGTTTCCAGGACATAATTCACTATTCTTCCTACATTCTCTGGAGACTTTGGAAGGCTCGAAACCTATGGATCTTTGACAAAATATGGACATCTGAAGCTGACATTGCTCGCATGGCACATAGAGACTGGTTAGAATTTGATTTGGTGAATAGTAAGGAGGTTTAACTCCCCCCTGCTCTTTTTGGCTTTTTGAGCTGCTTGAGGAATCTGTTGCTGCCACCTTACTAGGGACTAAGTCTAAGTCCAGTGGTAAGGGTGTAGCCTAGAATTAGTGTGCCATCTCCCTCAAGTACCTTTCTTTGTTTGTATAGTTTGTATTAGTTCTGTCATCCTCCTTGTGTTTCTCTGTTGCTAGTTTTCTCTTATTCCTGATTGTTTCTTAGTTTTGTTGTTCTGTCTTTCTGTTGTTGTTGTTCAGGGTTCATCCCCTTTGTATCTTAGCTATATATGGTTAGCTAAGGCATGCATCTCTTGATGCTCCCCGCTGTAAACTTTCTCTGAGTTATTAATATTATTTTCATTTCGAAAAAAAAAAAATGATTTTGCAAATTTATAAAAATATTATTATTTATTATCATATAGTGATTCATATTTGCATGCAAGTTATGCAAAATTTATATTTATGTTATTCATTTTAACTTATTGTTAAATTTTGAAATGTGATATATTTATTATCAAACATACAATTCTGACTATTATATGTCATATAATTTTAACAAATAATTAATAATTTTTAAACAACAATTGGACATCTAAAAAAAAACTTAATAAGCCATAAAGATCATTTTTTTTTTAAGCACAAATACTTGAATCAGTATAATTCAATCGCAAATGGCTTTTTCTACTCTACCGATCTCTTCTTCTTCTTCTTCTTCGAATTTACAGCAGCGGTTGCTCTTTCTGTTCTCTTTACTTTTGCTCCCGCCGTGGATCACCGCATCAGAAACTCAGTTCAAGTTGGACGGCAAAGTGTTGGAGCTCGACGAGTCCAATTTCGACGCCGCGATTTCGAATTTTGATTATATTGTTGTCGATTTCTATGCCCCGTGGTGTGGCCACTGCAAGCGCCTCGCGCCTGAGGTTTGATCTCACTTTCCAGCTTTGCCTTGCGCGTTTTTATTGGATTTTTGTTTTTGATTATGTGCCTTTTTATGGGTGGATGCGATTATTCTTCCAATTTTCTTCGATTTAATGCATGAATGTTGAAAATGCGATTCTTTTGAGCTGATTTTTATCATGTCATGACGATGGGTATGGAGCAAAGGGCAAAACTTTGGTGCTATGATCACAATACACTATTGTATTTCTATTTTCTCTTTGTGGGTTGGTAGGATTTGAAATGGTCATTACATGATCTAGAACAGAACTTTGAAATCATATGCGATAATTTGTTCGATTATTGGTGCTTCTTCGAATTGGGCATGATAATCGCCTTTCGTATTTCTCTATATTGTTCTGTGTTTTCATCTTTCACTACAGTATGGGAGAGGCCCAGTTTACCCTATCTGCTCTGGATTAAGTATTTCTATTCCAATTTACAAAATGAACAGACTAATAGGAATGTTGAATTGCAGTTAGATAAGGCGGCCCCGGTTCTTGCTGGATTAAAGGAACCTATGGTAGTTGCAAAGGTAGATGCAGACAAGTACAAAAAGCTTGCTTCTAAGCATGATGTTGAGTATGTTGTGAGACTGAGACTGAATTTATATCATTTTTGTCCTAAGAATATAAGAGAGGTGCCTAAAATATTTGTTCTACTTGATGTAGTGCATATCCAACTCTAAAGATTTTTATTCGTGGAGTCCCTACGGAGTATTATGGACCTAGGAAAGCCGATTTGCTTGTTCGGTTTCTGTCGAAATTTGTTGCTCCTGATGTTTCTGTTCTAAGTTCCGATTCTTCCGTGTGGGACTTTGTCGAAGCAGCTGGCACAAATTTTCCAATCTTCTTGGGATTTGGGTTAAACGAGTCTGTTTTGTCGAATTTGGCTGTAAAGTATAAGAAGAAAGCATGGTTTTCTGTTGCTAATGGCTTCTCAGAGGATATCATGTCCGCGTATGATTTTGATAAGGTGCCTGCTCTGGTTGGGATTCAGCCTGCCTACAAAGAACAAAGCATATTTTATGGGCCATTTGAAGGTTAGCTTGTATTTTGTAAATTTATTGGCAAGCAATTGTTATTAATGTTGTTATTCTGTTTTTCACATGACTTTTTAATCTTTTTTGCGGCATGCGGTTTGATATAAGTGTGTGCGATTTTTGTATGGACTATGGTTCAGTAAGTGGTGTATTGGAACAATGCTTCTATGATTTACTAAACAGCTTCAAGTGCATAAAAAAAATCTGGTTAATTATTAATACATAGATATGTGTCAAATGCCTGATAATATAAGCCTTACGCCTTTTTCTTGAAATTTTTTACAACGAGCTTACAAATTACTCCAACTTTTTTTTAATTTTTTTTTTATCTTATGTGGAGATTGTAATTTAGCTATATGACTTATAGTTAAAAATTAAAATAGTTTGTTACTTATTTTTTAATTCATTTTAATGGCGTAAACTGCAGAAAATTTTCTTGAAGATTACATAAAACAAAGTTTGTTGCCTCTGGTATTACCTATAAATCGAGACTCGTCAAAGCTGCTTAAAGATGACGAGAGGAAAGTTGCTCTTACTATCTTGGAGGATGTATTGGACGAAAGATCCGAGAGACTAATAAAAGTTTTAAAATCCGCTGCCTCTGCAAATCGTGACTTGATATTTGGTTATGTCGGGTTTAAGCAGTGGGAGGATTTTGTCGAGTCATTTGAAGTTAACAAGAAAACTCAGCTCCCGAAGATGGTTGTATGGGATGGTGAGAAGGATTATTATAATGTAAGTGGTGATTTCTATTATGAAGTTTCATGTAAAACTAGGCAACATTTGTTTTACTTAACAAATTTCATGTCAAATTATCCCCCTTTTTCTTTATACAGGTTATTGGTTCGGATAGCATAGATGAAACGGATATGGGCAATCAGATCTCAAAACTTTTAGAAGCCTATAGAGAAGGAAATGTGATTCAAAAACGCGTTTCGGGCCCAACTTTGATGGCATTCATAGCCTCAAACTTAGTTGTGAGGATTTTCCTAATTATACTTTTCTTTATATTGGTGATGATATTGATTTTGGTGACGATGAAAGATGAACCTTTGGCTGTCGGCAAGCGTGACATGGCTGAAGATAGGACCTCTGCCTCTCAAACTGAAGCCAGAGAAAAAGAGGACTGAGTTTAATGCGTTTGTAGGAAGGCTTTTCGACATGTTCCGACACGACTGAAGCAAGCCGTGTTAATAATAATAATAATAATAATAATATTGTCATTAGTGGTTATTTAACCAAAAAAAAATGTCTGTATACTATATATATCTTTTGAACTTGAAAAAGTTACATTATGTACCAACGAATTGATTGTTAATAAAATGATCCATTATTTGTTAATTGATTGTTGATAAAATGATTCAATATTTGTTAATTGATTGTTGATAAAATGATTCATTTTTTGTTTTAGTTGTGGGTATTATGTGTTCTTTTTTACATTAAATTAATTATTTTCTACACAAAAGTTTCAATTTGAAGTCCATATTACATATATAACATCAATAATTATATCTATATTTATAATAAAAATAAATAAATTATCTATTAATTATAAAATTATTTATCAGTCAAATAAATTTATCTATAAAGTCCCACTTAAGAGTACATACATCTTATATACATAAAATGTACCATCTCAATGAAATTTCATGTTAAAATTACTAAAAAATTCTATATTATCCTCAATAAAATTAGAAAATAACTTATAATATTTCTAAAAAACATATTAAAAAACATCTCAAATCCCCCCTATATATTAATCCAGAACGCGCTAAGCCTACGTGGTTGCTTCTGGTGCTTCGGAATCGTATGTGGCAAAATTACATGTTTCGGCTTGGGTAGATTTTAATTTAATTCTAAACCAAAAATAATTAGGTTCGGATTAACATAAATATGTTGATTATTTATGATCATGTTACATGTATTAGTTGCATTTTAATATCATTCTTTATTATAATTATTGAATTGTATATATATTTTAAAAGTTAATAACTTTTGTATTTTTTATCAGTTTTACATATGTAATATATCAAATTAATCTTCTTTTGATTCCATATTGTATGTATAAAAAAATAATTTATATTTATCTTTATAACAATAATAAAATTATTTTTTATATTAATTACGAAAATAAAATTATTTATCAACTAATATATTTATATTTCAAGTAGTTATATGATATAAGTTATAAAAACTAATATAATATATAACACATGTAAGTCATAAATAGCACATATCATTCTAAAATATATAGTAAAATATTTTTTTTTTGGTAAAAAAATAAACTGAATTTAATATAGTTTTCTTATTAATTTTAAAATTTAAAAATAATTTTTTACCAACTATCCTTGTAATGCACGGGTGTTGTACTAGTACAAAACACAAAAACAGAAAAACGTTAAGGAAAAAGGAAGCAAAACACTAGCCCTCCCCAACAGTTGGGTATTGCTGCTTCTTTTTGGTACTCCTAGTATTTAAATACTAATCTTCAATCACTACCCTTTATTATATATAATTATTAGTTTGTCTCAAATATTTAAACATTTAAATAGATTTTATATGCAGTATAAAGGTTAAATTAATTGATGAGTGGAGTAAGATGGTGTGAGACTATATATAAATTTTTGTGATTAGTGATTCTTTAACATCAATTATAATAATAATAATAATAATAATAGTGATTAGTGATTCTTTAACACCCAATCAAAGAACAGAGTTGTTAGGAAGTCTTTAACAAAAACAAGTGATAGATCTAACAAATAAAAGTGACTGATCCAATCACAGAACAAAGTTAACAAAGAAAAGTGATTGATCCAATCACATAACAAAGTTATCATAATCTGAATTATCTGAATTACCATAAGGAGGAATATGTCGAATAATCACTTGTGCGCTCTTGGAAATTTTTGGCCCCCTGCACTAGTTTGAGAATCTTTTGGCGCGTCTCTTCACTCCACTCGGGCTTATGTATCCACCACTGGTTGCGTGCAATATCCCATTTGGGGCACTTCTGATTGCCTCCAATATCCCATCTGGGGCACCTGTTTATCTGCATTTGCTCTAGAGATGTTGCGTTTTCTAATATGAACGATGCAAATTCAATCTCGTTTATTGTCCCACAAAATCCGTTTATTTCCACTTTCTTCAGCTCCGTATGGATTAGTGTGTCCGATGACGGCATCTTCATCTTCAGGCCATCGTCGTCCACAAATTCTGTCTACATAAAAGAAAAAAAAAAAAAAAATTATTGACGAATTTGAGGTGTAGTGTATGTCGTTTGAACGTTTAACAACTTACATCTAAGCGAAACTCGTGTAAGACGGGGCAGATGTTTAGAAATGAAATCATCCCAAAGATCATATCCTTGTAAGCTGTACAACCAAGTTTGAGCATTAATCGCCTGAGGTTGCTGAACGTGTTGGCCGGAGCATCTAGGGGGACCACCTGATCGACAGAAAATGGGAAAAGTTTAAAAACCAAAATCATTAATTCCAAACAAAAAAGAACTATGAATTACCTGAATCATATCAATATCGTACGCGCTACCCACGGTCAACGACCTTAGTTGACCAGGCAGCAATACGAAGGGCAATCTCTCCAAGACGCAATGCATGTGGATGTGCAGATTCTGCAGACGAGGGACGTGATGGAATACAAATCGGACCGGCTCACGGTTATGAAACTCGATGCTGACGAGACTGGCCGCATGGAACTTGATCTCACGTACCCCTGCACACATCTCGATGACAAGGCACTCGAGCCTAAGGTGGGGCCCACAGAAGCGTAAGGTCGAAGAACCGGGAGGATACCTGCAGTAATCCATCCTCAACGCGCGGAGAGCCATGCACCCAGACAGGAGGCACTCGAGGGAGCCCTCCGCCAGCTCGACTCGACTAAGCCTGAGAATCCGAAGGGACCCACTTGCTGAGTTGGGATTAAGAGTTGTATTTTCGAGCTCCAGGTGGGTGAGGCAGCGGGTCTCAGGAAGGTGGTGGGTACAGGAAAACGGGCGACTGCACAAGTTTTTATACTCGCAACAACATTGGACGGCAAGTTTCCTAAAAAAAAGTTCAAATACATCATAATATGAAGTATAAGTGATGTAACACAATGCCTTTGTGCGAGGAAAAACCTCAAACACTTAATGTGCACCACAGAATCTCCAAACAAAATACCAAAATCTCAATTTTTTTTTCTCATGAATCATACACAAAACAAAATCCCAGAATGTCACTACATTATTTAAATCTATATTGAAAAAAATAAAAAAGACAATTGGATCAATTGATTTATGAATTATTGCCTCACAGATCCCAAGTGCGCGGATACGAAATGTTGCAAGCGTATCATGTACGACTGGGACAGGCAGCAGCAGAAGATGAGGCTGCTGATTTCAGAGCCCTTTCGGGTGCGGAAATACTTTAGCGCGATCCAGGCTACCATCTGGCTCCGGAAAAAGCCGATGGGCTCGGGGTGGTAATCGTCCCTGTCCTGAAACAAGTATCGTTGAAGCAAGAGGTGTATCCAGGTGCGGGAATAGGGGCGGCAGACGAGGTGGTGGCAACGGAGGTCGAGGTGGATAACAGATTTGTGGAGGCTGGCCCACCTTCGGGACAGGACGCACGTACGGACGGCGTCCTTGAACGGAAGGCGGTCGAGGATGGAGATCAAGATAGCGTCCGGTAGCACGTCGATCGATCGTCTTCTTCTTCTTCTTCTTCTTCTTGTCAATAAAAAAGAAGATGAAATTCGATAAGACAATGCAAAGACTGAAACTTGATAGGCTAATAGCGTGAACCATGTTGAGAATCCTAGTGGTTTGGTAGAGGTGAGGGATGCCATGGCTTGGCTAACAGGAAGATCTGAGGTTTTTCACAATCTTTTCATTTTTTTTTTTTTTTTCTAGGTCATGCAAGACAAGTCTTGTCACAATTAGTGGGCCGGTGGCAATATTTGGGCCGAAGCAGACAAGTTGCTCAATTTCTTTTCTTAGCCCAACCTTGTCCATCGATCGTCCTCTTCTACTTCTTCTTCTTGTCGTCGTCGTCGTCGTCGTCGGTAATAGAGAAGATGAAATTCGAAAAGACAATGTAAAGACTGAAACGTGATAGGCTAATAGCGCGAACCATTTTGAGAAACCTAGTGGTGTGATAGAGATCAAGGCTGCCATGGCTTGGCTAACAGCCTAACAGGGAGACTGAGGTTTTTGACAATTTTTTTGGGGAAATTCTATTATAGGGCCTCATTTTTAGGTATTGTGTCATAATAGGGCCTATATTTTTAACATTTTCACTTGAGGGTTTCATTTTTAACTTATTCTCAATATAAGGCCTACTTTTACATTCTACTTTTCAATTTAAGTCTCTAGATTTCTTTTTATTTTAACAAAATTATGTAAACATAATACTATTTTTAAAATCTATTTTTTAAGTACATATAATAAATAATATTAAATATCTTAGTGGAATTACCTAAAAATATAACTATTTCATAATTTACATTTATACAAAATCTTAATGAAAGTTATTTTAAAAGTTAAAAAATAAATTTTCAACTTAATTTAATCTAAATATGTGATAAAATTAAATAATAAACTATTTAGAAAAATATACTAAAGTAATTTTACTAAAGACATTTATAATTATTTAAAATATAAATATTAAAATAATAGTATTTGGATTATATATTTATGTAAAAATATAAAATTAGTTGGAGTCTTAAATTGAGAATTAGAATGTAAAAGTAAGCCTTTGATGGAGAATAACTTAAAATTCAAGCCCTCAAATGAAAAAGTTAAAAATTGAGGCCCTATAATGACACAATACCTAAAAATAAGGCCCTATAATAAAATTTCCCCCAATTTTTTAATTCTGGTTTTTTTTATAGGTAATAAAGTTAATGTGTGGCATCTAAAAAGTCTCGTCACAGTTAGTGGGCCGGTAGCAATATTTGGGCCGAAGCGGAAGTTTCTTTTCTTAGCCCAACCTGGCCATTCTATACGAGGAAATTACCTATTGTACTATGCATTACCATTTTTATTACATAATTGGTTATCATTTTGGTTATCATTTTCTTTTTTCTTTTTTTTTTTTAGCCAAACATACAAGATATTAAGTAACTGATAATTATGGGTTTGTTTGTCAATTAACTGTTACAGTTAGCGTTAGCGGATTGTATTAGCTGTTTTGACGAGCGGATTATGTTGGTTGTTTTGACCAGCGAATTTATATTAAATGTTTGTTACAAAGTGTTTGGTAAATTAGCAATTTGATATTTAGTTGGTAGGATATAAATTACTTATAAGAAAAGTTATATAATTTATTTTTTATGTTTTGTATATATCTATTTTTTAAAATAAGAATAGTTTATGAATTTAATATGTAGGAAAAAATAATAATACAATCACACAAATAAAAAATAAACATCAAATAAGAATTTATGATTCTAATTACTGTATAAATAATTATTGAAATACATTTTAAATTTTTTTTGTTATGTAGCACAAGAAACAACCATTAATGTTTGTTAGTCAAAATAGATGTCATTGCTTAAACGTGTGTTGTGAGTCAAAATAAATTTTTCGCCTGCTATTAAGTAGCTAGCAGCATATAAATTATTTGTTGTTCCCATATGGTATTGTAAAACGCTGCACATTGCAGCGTTTTTGATAGAAAAAGCTATTTTATCAAACATTAAATTTAGTTGTTAGGTACCGTCAAACTGCTAAAATGAGTTGAAACCGTTAAAAGCTAATGAAAAAGTTGTTTACCAAACACACCCATATATTAATTATGCTAACAACGGTTTTAAAAGGAAGCTGATATTTTATGACCAAAAACCAAATCCTAATATCAAGAAAATAACCCCCGGTCATACATATTAGGGAGGCGTGGTTGAACATGGCGAACGGAGAATATATCCCGAGATTGAAATCCATTCAAGGTGATGCTGGAAAACGACAGCGCAGCAGATCCGACTGATCAGTAGCAAACTAATTGTTAAGATGATGTCACCGGAGTTGGTCAGAGATGCGGTCACTTCTTTCTTCGATCCTTATGGTTTCTTTTGAAGAGACAACGATGGATTCCTACGGTTGTGTGTCCCTCCCCTCCTCCTTTCCAGCGGGGAGATCAAGTTGGAGATGACGAAGGAAATGCCCAAAGCTCGAGCCCATGGAGGTCAACTTTGATGGCATTCATATCCTCAAACTTAGTTGTGAGGATTTTCCTCATTATCCTTCTCTTTATATTGGTGATGATAGTAATTTTGGCGATGAAGAAGATGAAAATGTGACCTAGTCGAAGATGGGACCTTTGCCTCTCAAACCGAACCTAGAGAAAAAGTGGACCGAGTTTTATGTGTTTCTATGAAGGCTTTGCAAGAAGTGAAAAAAGGGATTTTATGTCGAAATTAGTGATCATTATTCCCATGCAGGTTTCAACCTTTTATGCATTTGTGGATTGTATGTTTTATCAGCCTTCAACAACTAAACCATAAGAGATGCTTGGATACAAAAAAAATAAATAAATAATAATAATAATAATTCTAAACATTTTGAACTGAACCATTTTTTAAATCAAATCAACTGTCATCAATATAATTAAGGGTTAATTGCTAAATAAACCTTAACATTTTGCGTTTGACAATTTTATCCCAACTTTTGAGTAATTGCAATATAATATCGATCTCAATTTACTTATTGCAAGTCGAACCTAAAACCGGTCGGACATTCAAAAAACTGGTCGATTTGAAGGCGGTTCGAACAGGTCGGAGCTCATATTTACTGGTTCATTCTAGATCTAGGAGGAGACTCTCATCATTGGTAGCTTACATAGACGTGGAATTTTCGGCTTGGTGCGTGGATATATGTTAAATACATGAAAATTGTCAATTTGCTACATGAATGTCATATAAACCCGTGTCAATGGAAGACCTGGACACAAAATCGGTCCACAAATCCCTAAAATCAATCACTCTTCACCCAAATTTGCAAGAAGTAAATTGAGGTCGAGATTATATTACAATTACTTAAAGATTGGGATAAAATTGGCAAACGCAAAAAGGTTAAGATTTATTTAGCAATTAACCCTATAATTAAATAATAGGGTTAATTGCTAAATAAACCTTAACCTTTTTGCGTTTGGCAATTTTATCCCAAACTTTGGGTAATTGCAATATAATCTCGACCTCAATTTACTTGTTGCAGATTTTGGTGCAAAGTGATTGATTTTAGGGATTTGTGGATCAATTTTGTGTCCAAGTCGTTCATGGACACGGGTTTTTATGACATCCACTTAGCAAGTTGACAATTTCCACGTATTTAATGTATATCCACGCACAAAGACAAAAATTCCACGTCAATGTAAGCTACCGGTTAGGGATGGCAATGGGCCAGGTCGGGCCGGGTAATTCCGGACCCAGACATGGCCCGTAGATTTGGACTGCTGCCCCGACCTGGCCCGTGACCCATTGCGGGTCCACCAAGATTGCCCCGTGACCTGGCCCGCGCTGGGGCGGGCCGACCTGCCCTGGCCCCATTTTTTATTTTTGTTTTTGTAACAATGATGATCTATCAAATCAAGAAAACACTATCTGAAGAAAATTTACTACAATTGAAGAATTATCCACGGGAAGAAATTCGATGAACCGAAGAACATGTCATTTTTCTCCCCAATCGGCGTATGGTGCTTTTTTTTATTCGAATTTAGCCGATGCAATGACCAGGTCATGACTCTAATTTATTGATGTCTTTTGTTGATGAGAAAATTTGCCGTGTGAATTCAAATTCAATTGCGTGTTGGGAGATAGAGATGAAGGGGTGCACTCTGGACAGAAGAAGAAAAAAAAGGTTGTGAAGATGAATGTGTGGTGTGTGTGGGTTGTGGGTGGCGTGGGAATGTAGGTTTCATAAAGTGGAAGTAACACCTTAATAATATATAATATTATAATAACACCCGACTCTATATAATTTATAAATAATAAATTGGTTATACTGGTACAAAAACAGGGCGGGCCGGGGCGGGGCAAAACGGGACGGGGCAGGTTTAACTACCCGGACCTGACCCGTCTATTCAACGGGGCGGACCCGACCTGGCCCGTTTCTAAACGGGGCGGGTCTGACCTCGACCCAAACACTACGGGGCAGGGCGGGTCGGGCCAGGTCCGGGCTAAATTGCCATCCCTAGTGATGAGTCTCCTCTTAGATCTGGAGTGAACCGGTAAATATGAGCCCCGATCTATTCGAACTGCCTTCAAATCGACCAGTTTTTTGAAGGTCCAACCGGTTTTAGGTTTGACTTGCAATAAGTAAATTGAGGTAGAGATTATATTGCAATTACCTAAAGATGGAGATATAATTGCCAAACGCAAAAAGGTTAAGGTTTATTTAGCAATTAACCCTAAATAATATTAACAAATGATTATTACACACCACATCAACATTAATTCACTATTTATCCATTCACATAATTTTAACTAACCGTCACTTCAAATCATACTTTTACATCAAATCAATTTTAATTATTTTATTTTAAAATTATTTTAATATACCCACTAACAACTTATAATACTATACTTTTTGAAATTAACCAAACCAAACCAAAAAAGTCAAACAACGCCAACAAATTTGTTATCCAAGCATCCCTTGAGGACGTGTTTATTATGCATGATAAGATAGGGATAAGAATTGTTATCTCGTATTAATCCTATGTTTGATGTAATGGATTGTAGCCCGCAGGATCGGATGAGGCCCTTGACTGAAACTAGAACTGCCAACGAGCCGAGCCGAACTCGAGCTTGGGTGCTCAAGCTCGAGCTCGAGCCTTTAACGAGCAGAGTCGAGCTCGGCTCGTTAAGTAAATGAGCCTAAAATCGAGCTCGAGTTCTTCTCGTTAAGACCTTGAGCTCGAGCCTTAACGAGCTGATCTTGAGTTTTAACGAGTCGAACTATAAAAACTTATATAAAAATTTAATTTTCAAGCCTTAACGAGCCTTATCAAGCAGAACAGAGTTCAGCTCGTTAACCGAACGAGCTTTAAATGGCTCGATCTCGCCTCGTTAAGGCCTTGAACTCGAGCCTTAACAAACCGAGCTCAAGCCAAGCTGAGCCAGAGTCGTTTAATTTAACAACGTAACACTAATTGAAACCAGTTGTACCCCTCTTGTGTGATAAATCAATCCTTTTTTTTTCCAACGTCAATTACATTAATAACTAAAATCTCAAAAGAGAACAACTGAAATGTCAAATGACACACTAGACCAGAAAAACTGGACTAACCCCCTTGTCAACACACACAAGGGGTACAAACTCCATCAAGGAGGTGAACACCTACAAAACAAAACTCCATATAGGAGAACAAAGCAGACACCGCTGCACTAAAAGCAGACACAACTGCTCTAAAAGAAACAACACAACAAAATAAAAATCAAAAGCAACACACACCTAATAAACAACAAGATAGAGTAAAGCATCCCCTAAACCTAACAACTGGCACCCAAAATTACATGAACCGTCTACCAAGTCACACCCCAACAAAGAAAACCAACCGAGCACCAAAACTAGGCTCCAAACCCGAAAACTGCGGTCACTCTACCGCCTAGACGAATTTTTGGCCCAAATCTGAGCCCCGAAGACTTCACCGCCGGGGAAAAGAAGGAGAGCCATCACGAACCCGCTGAAAGACTAGAAGGGAGAGATCGAGGAGACGACAATCTGCAATCGAGCCGCCCGGCCCAAGGACCTGCAGCCCGACTGAACAGGGGCGCACGGGACGTGAGTTGGGCTCGCCCACGCCAAGGTCCGTCTCCGAAGAACATGGCAATGTAAATCGAGCCTCCAAACGGACCAACGAACTCCCGCGGCTGGGCCTTGCAAGAGAAGCCGAGGACCTCGCCGGAGGCGGGGAATAAACCGAGGAGCAAAAATCGCCGCTGGCCAACCACCCGCAGCTCTCCTAGAGGCGGAAAGGAACACCCAGCCGCGACTTGGCCGGAACGGCCCGGTGACCACTGGAGTCGCGCCGCTGGAGAAGGGGGCAGCTTTGGAGATAGGTTTTCTGTTTCTTTAGCTGCGGAGAATGGGGAAATTAAGGGAATAGGTGTGATAAATCAATCCGGGGGAGGCCAAATTGAAATTATCCATTTTCCCAAATCTTTTGACATGGACCAATTTGCCCTAGTGCAGCACAATGTCTTTCTGTGAGGACAAAACCTCAAACACTTTACTGTGCAACACAAAATCTCCAAACAACATCACCAAAGATCCCATTTTTTTTTTCTCATGAATCATACTCAAAACAAAATCCCAGAATGTTGCATGTCACTTGCGTGTGCTTGCAAAATATTCGTAAAGTTCAGTCCTTTCTATTTATTCTGAGGTCATGCGACTGTTAAACCTTCGCCTTTTCACCTCCCCTTGCAGAGCCCCTCATTGTTCTTTCTCCTTAAACCCAGTCAAATTCTCGCCCCCTTCACCTCTCCCTCCTCTCCACCGCCGTAGTCTGAATCCCGGCGGCGGTTTGCGTCTTAGAGACCGCGTTTACTGCTTTTGCTTGTCCAGAGGTGGTTTTACGGTGGCAGCAATGTTCCCATCGCCGCCGTCCGTTCACGTGAAGGACCGTATTGATCTGACGGCCAAGGAGGAACAGATATTCGACCGTCTTCTCCAGGTCCTCCGTCACTTCAATCTCCAGACGCAGCTAAGGGTCGCCGGGGGCTGGGTTCGCGACAAGGTTTTCCGGTCATTATGCTCTTTGTTTGCCCCTTTGCTTTTCATTTAATGAAATTATCAGTTGTAGAGATGAAAATAGACATGTGTGGCCGGTAATGTGAGCTGAAAATATGTTTTGTGGAAATTTTATGATTCTTGATGCCTTGATGGATCTCGTGCTGCTTCTAGTGCATCCATTTTTCACAGAATAGTCACTTGTCACTTGTGCTTACTGCAGCTTTTGGGGAAAGAATGTTATGATATCGATATTGCCCTCGATAATATGCTGGGGAAGGAATTTTGTGAAAAAGTGAACGAATATTTATCGTCTAAAGGCGAAGAGGCTCAAGGAGTAGGTGTCATACAGTGGTACTTTATCTGACTTTCGATACACTCAAAGGCATCTCTTTTTCATTTTGTGTGTGTGTGTTTTTTTTTGGTTTGCATAACATAGTCTAGAATGTTATGATGATTTGTGCAGCAATCCTGATCAGTCGAAACACTTGGAAACAGCCAGAATGCGCCTTTTTGACGTATGGGTTGACTTTGTCAACTTAAGATCGGAAGACTACAGTGAGAATAGTCGAATCCCAACTATGGTGCACATTTATATATTATCAAGAAACTAGGCTGAAATTGTCATTATGCATTATCCTAAATAATGACAAGAGGAAAAAGAAGAAGAAAATGTAATAAGTGTAATTGCTGTTTTGTTCTGCAGAGGTTTGGCACTGCTGAAGAGGATGCTTATCGAAGGGATTTAACTATCAATAGGTTTGTGGCTTATCTCTAGTAACTTTATGTGGTCTCTAGCTTGTGTTCTGTATATATATATATATATATATATATATATATATATATATACATACTTTCTGATATCACAAACAAATACTTCAACTTACCTTATTTTGATTGATTTTCTATTTAACAGCTTGTTCTACAACATCAATACGAGTGCAGTTGAAGATTTCACAAAAAGAGGTACATGCATGTTTATGTATTTCTATTTAAATCTCATATGGATTTGCGACTCTAACTAACCGTAAATATTGTTCTCCATTAATTTTCCTTTTTATCACCCGGTCCTAATAGGAATTGAGGACTTGAAAGCTGGAAAGATAGTGACCCCATTACCTCCAAAGCAAACCTTCTTAGATGATCCGCTTCGCGTTCTCCGTGCTATACGTTTTGGTAGAAAATGCAATTATTTACCATTGCCTACACATTTTTTGTAAATGAATATTTTTTAGAACTGATTATAGAATATCAATAGGTGCACGGTTTGGATTCTTGTTAGATGAAGAACTGAAGATAGCTGCTGCAGACAATGATGTCAGAGAAGCTATTGCTGATAAAATCAGTAGAGAACGTATTGGTCATGAGGTATGCATTTGTATATTGCTGATAAAATTCACGTGAATCTTCGATTATCGGTTTTCTTTTTTTTTAAATGTTTATTCTTTTGGATACATTAAATTATTCTGCAGATTGACCTTATGATGTCCGGAAATCAGCCTCTGAAGGCAATATATTACATCTCCGAGTTGCAGCTCTTTTGGGCTGTATTTAGTCTTCCAAGTGAAGTGGAACCTTCGACTCCAGAAGGATGTGACAGGTCAGATTTTTTTCTTTTCTTTAAAATAAACAAGAACATTTTTTTTTTTCCTTGTATTTTTTAATATTCTCATTCAAGTTTATACATGTCCTTGATTTTTTATGGGTACTTGACTAGGCTTTGCATTGCTTACATGGATGCAACATGGAGATTTTTGCAGTCAATAGGTTTCTCCTTGAATGTGAGTATTAAATAAATTATAGCACGACGTAATTAGTAACACGTACTTTGTCCATATAAACAATCAGTTTTAGGCTTAAGAGTACTTTTATTAGGCTGTCGATTTCTTTTTGTTCGTTTTAGGATGACCAGCGGAGAGTCTGCCTTTATGCTGCTCTATTCCTTCCCTTAAGAAATGTTATTTACAGAGAGAAAAAAGGGAAAAAGGTAAAAATAGTTAATGCTTCATCAATTACTTGGCATTTGTTAATAATAATTCAACATATTATTATATTTGTACTGATTTGTAAGCTAGTTTTTTAACAGATACCAGTAGTAAGCTACCTCTTCAAGGCTGCTCTCAAGTTGAAGAACAGTGATGCAGAAATTGTAAGCTAGTTTTTTTCGAGCTATAACTTCATTTTGATTTATAAATTCATTGAAAATTAAACAGAAAATTACTTATAATTGATCATATTTCTCTGCTGCAGGTTATTAGCTTGCATCTTGCAGCACAAAAGTTCGTGCACTTAATTCCTTCACTCATATCCAACGAGAATTTTCAAACTCTTCAAGTCGATAAGAACGCATTAGCCATTGATGTCCCTGTTTCATCACAACTCAGAATACAAACAGGTAAAAAGTGAATCTACTTCCATAACATTTTCAGTGAATCTTGATCTTAAAAAAAATATGGCTAAATATGCTTTCTTTTTTCTTTTATGTGTAGGATTGCTTCTTCGAGAAATCAAGGACTTTTGGCGTGCTGCACTGATGCTTTCTCTGCTCTTATACCCTGAAGATATTGGTTTGAATAACACGAAACTAAACGGGAGAATAGAATTATATAACAGAATTGAGAATGCAGTTCTGGAAATGGGTGCGTTTGATAATGCTCATTGCTTAAGGCTTTTAGTTGTTCATCACTCATAACGTGAAAACTAGATGCTCGGTTTTTTTAGCCAAAATAAAAAACTTCGGGCAGTTACAACTATGTGCTTCCACCAAATTACTATAACAAGTAAATGATGAAAATAGATTTTCCATGTTTTGTTACTAGTTAAACAGTCGTTCAAATAGAACTTTTTTTTTTTT